GCTTAAGCCGAATGTCATATCACTCATACGCAGTGTTGCCAGAACAAATTACTTTAAGGCTAAATATTTGAACTATAAATTGTGTATTTATTCAGACTTGAAATTAAACTTTGTGTATTAAAGTAAGAAAGCAATAAAGGGAAAAAAAGTAGAGTCTTAGAAATGTTTGAAAATTAAAAAAACAGTGATGAAATAGCAGGGAATTAATAGTATTTCAAAGAGAAATATTTGTATGCTTTCTATTCCTTCTGTTTCTAGCCAGTAAAATGATTTATTGTATTAAATTTTTAATTAAGATGTTCTCTCCACATGACTAAAACAAAAATTAAAATTATTGTAACCATTAGCATGAATATCATATCACTCATACGCAGTGTTGCCAGAATATAATATGTTAATTATGTGTTTATTCTTTCTTGAAATTCAACTTTATAAAGTAAGAAATCTGAAAAGAGAACTCGAAGTCATTCAAATCTTTGGTAATTCAAAAACTAAGACAGAAATTAGCAGGGAATTAGTACAAATCCTCATTCCAGAACAGCAATTAAAATCATTGGAACCATTAGCATGAATATCACATCACTCATACGCAGTGTTGCCATAATATAAGATGTTGACCATGTGTTTATTCTTTCTTGAAATTAAACTTTATAAAGTAAGAAATCTGAAAAGAGAACTCGAAGTCATTCAAATCTTTGGTAATTCAAAAACTAAGAAAGAAATTAGCAGGGAATTAGTTCAAATCCTCATTCCTGCTTGTGTGATTTCTATTCCTCGTGTTTTGGACCAGTAAACTGGCTTATTGGATTGAATTTTGGATTAAAATGTTCTCTCCACATGACCAGAACAACAACAGCAATAATCAAAATCATGAGCCTCATCAGCATTCCCGGCATCATAATCGTCCTGCCTCATCATCAGGATGATTGGCTTAAGGCCCAGAGGCATCTTCCCTTCTCTGCACAGCGACTGCCTTATTCATTCTTCTTTTCATTTGGCTACATTTCATTTGATTCAATTCAATTCAATTCGTTTCGAGGCGATTCCATGCCATTTCATTCCATTCAATTCCCTTCAATTCATTTCAATTCCCTTCGCAAAGGGCCCAGCAACAACTGCCTTCAATTCATTCAGTTCGATTCATGGCTACCAATTTGCAGGCGCCATTTGCCGTCGCTCGAAAACAACATACAGCATATTTTCTTTGGCCCGTAAAGTGGGGACAGGTCAGCAGCGAGCTTCGTCCTGGCTTGTAAATGTTTTTATTTCCCCCTCCCCAGCAACTCCTTCGTATCTCTCTGTTCAGTATATAGTTTTTTTTTTTGTGTTATTTTTTACTTTTTGGCAAACATTCAAAATGAAAAGTCGAAGCGAAAAGAACCAAACTGAACCCCAACGATAATGTGCATCAAATGAGCTGTGCGCACATTTAGCAGGCGTCGCCTTGGCTATTGAACTTTATTAGCCTTGTACTTGTCGTAGGCCCCCTGGAGCCCCATGGAAAGCCTCCTCCTCCTACTCCTCTGTCTGGCTGGTCTGGGTCTACTGATTCTGGAAAAAAAGAAAGAAAGAAATAAAAATAGTAAAAAGAAAGCAGCAGCAAGAAAAAATGGCAGCCGTAAACGTTTGAGAACCTCAAAGACTGCACAAGGGCAGGGGACAGTTTATCAAAAAGCTTAACTGAAACACGCTCGGACATTTGTCCTAGCTGAAATCCTGCAAGGATTTTCCCACAAACGACTTGGAAATTCTCTTACAAATAAGGTATTTTGTTTTAGTGATGGTGGGGAATTTAAGGAGGTTCTTTTCTAACTTGTTTCCCTGATTATATTAAAAGAAATGTGAATGTTTTAGTACTTTTTATTAATAAAAAGTTATCATATACAAAAATAGAGTAGAGCTATAATTTTAGAAGAAGAAGAAAGTTTAATGAAGGATCTATAAACATAGATAATATGTAAAAACTTTTTTTTTTGTTTTTTTTTTTAGTTTTTCAATAAAAAAGAAAGTTATTACATAAAAACTTAAAGAAGATCTATAATTTTAGAAGAAAAATTATGATAGATGAAGAATCTTTAAATATACAGTATTATTTAAGACATTTTTTTTTTAAGTTATTCTATAATTAAAGAAGAAAAATTAGGTTATAAGTGGGATTCATAAATATATATTAATATATTAGCCCATTATTTAAGTTACGTATACTTGATTTTCTTTGTAAATTCATCTCCATTTGGTTAAAAATTTTTAATTTTTAAATCTTTTACTGTTTGACTATATCATAATTATTTTTCAAAATTTCCCAAGGTATCTTCTAGATTATTATGACTTATATACATTAAGGAATACCCAGCTCTCAGGCTATATCCCTGACACTAGCTTAATTTTTTGTAGAATCTAATGTTTAATGTATGTTTAATACTTACCTTTAAGTTACCAAATTTATTATAATCAACTGATCAAAGTTATATTACTTTTTTCTTACATAAAGTTTAAAATCAAAAATATTTCCCTACCAATTCCTCCAAGGATAGTAAACCGCAATAAGGTCAATTTTTCTGGTTTTTCGATAACCCCCAAAAGGGGAAGACTATAGATGTGGGGAATAAATCAATTGACCAATTGCATATGCCCCTTGCTGGAGGGTTCAACCAACATAAAAAAAATGAAAGAGAAAAACAATATATGGCGGAGTTGGGGCCACCAACAAATCATGGCTGGTCCGTGCATGTTTCGTGTCCACTTAGCCAAGAAGACGACATAACGACACCCACACACACAGGGATATATACCATATAAGTACATACGTATATATGTGGGTATAGTCGCCATAACTCCAGATCCAGTTTCAGGGAGCTGGGAGCTGGGAGCTGAGAGCTGGAAGGCAAAAGCAGAAAAGCCGCCAACGCCATAGGGTCCACAGTTTTTGCTGCCACTGGCACTGAATTACGCTTAAATTATGGTAATTTATTTTACCCCAAAGAGCGATCTAACAGGGCCATGACGACAACGACAACGACAACGACAACGACGACATGGCCCCTGGTCTCATTGGGCCCAATGTCTGATGCCTGATGTCTGATGGCCCATAGACCATGGCCAGTGGCCAGTTCCAATTTCAGAATGTTTTTCCCTCCTTTATTTTTTGTAGATTGAACCTTTTGATTTTCTACAAGTGCTAAAGAGTTTACTACATTAACTTGACAGACTTGGAAATCCTTAATCATTTTTAGAGGGATATATCCTTTGCTTATTTTATTCCCAAATGATTTAATTTAAGTAAGACCATTGTATAACTACTTAAATTAATTCCACAATCTCAAATTATCACAAAAAAAAACCATATTTAATCAATTTCAGAATGTTTTTCCCTCTTTTATTTTTTGTAGATTGAACCTTTTGATTTTCTACAAGTGCTAAAGAGTTTACTACATTAACTTGACAGACTTGGAAATCCTTAATCATTTTTAGAGGGATATATCCTTTGCTTATTTTATTCCCAAATGATTTAATTTAAGTAAGACCTTTGTACAAATACTTAAATTAATTCCACAAACCCAAATTATCACAAACAACCATATTTAATCAATTTCAGAATGGTTTTTCTCTCTTTTAATTTTTGTAGATTGAATCTTTTAGTTGCTAAAAAGTGCTGAAAAGTTTACTGCATTAACTTAACAGACTTGGAAATCCTTAATCATTTTTAGAGGGATATATCCTTTGCTAATCTTATTCCCAAATTCAAGAAAAACCTTTGCTAAAGTGTATATATTATCCATATATTATATGTATCCATATTTCAGCAAATTAAACCAGTTTTTAAACATATTATTTACCTCAATTAACGCCATGTTTAACACTTAATTCCATTTGGCTAAAGTTCTTATTATTGCTCAATTATAATGAGACTCTTCAAATGGGAATTTTTGTAGCCATTTTTAATTTATAATTTGCCATGGCCAGCTTCGTTGGCTCATTGCAAAGAGAGTAAAAAAAACACAAGTGGTATGGTTGGGAAAATGGTGGAAAGCCAAAGAAAAGCTAGAAAGTGGCGACTGGACCGAATGTCGCCGCCTGCCATTGACGCCTCGTCAGTTTCTTGATTTATGCGACTCCATTTTTGAACCCCCCCCCCTAAATGCCACCCCGCCCCTCAATAAATAAGCGTGAAATATATAAAAAAAAGGGAAGAAAATGAAAAAATTGCAGCCTTTCTACTATATAAAGCTGGAAAAATCCGCCCGGGGATTCCCCATGGGCCGGGGGGCAATTAAAACACAAAAATGCATTCGTATGCATCGCTCGCGAAACAAATGCGAATGGGGTTGCACTTGGTCGGTGGGTGGTGGCACTTGGTGGGTGGTTCCTGGTGGTGGTGGAAATCGCGTTGAATGACGACTTCTGATGCCAGGCTACGTCCAGAGTTGGGAATCGGAAGCAGGAAGCAGGGAGTAGGAAGTTGGGGAGTTGGGAGTCCGCAGTCCATAGTCCGTAGTTTCTGCACTTTACACAAATAATGGTGTCTCTTTTAATTGTTATTTATATTGTTAATTTCAAGAATTTATAAAGCAAAAACTTTATAATAATAAGTTGCAGAATGACATAAAATTTATTAGTATTAGAATTTTTATAGGCTAGCTCTAGAGCTCTCCCTTTGGAATTTATTTAAGCCAGAAGGATCGCAAATTTCTAAATAGAATTTCTTACAGAAAACATTGCTGGTATAATTTAACTCTTTCGGCCCTACACATCTTATGTTTCTATTATCTTATTTTATAATTATTCTTTTAAAATTATATACTAAAGACTTACAAATGATTTAAGTCTATGGGCCTTATACATCTTATGTTTCTATTATCTTATTTTATAATTATCATTTTACAATTATATACTAAAGGTTTACAAATGTTTTAACTATATTTTATCTTATCATATTTATAATTATCTTTTTACAATTATATGCTAAATGTTTACATATATTTTCTTTTCTTTCCTTGCAGTAATTTTCCAACTTTAACTGAGAACTAAGCCAAGGTAAGTAAAAGAACTTTATAAAATAAAGAAAGTAGTTGTAAATTTCTCTCAAAATATAGTTAGAAGTCTATAGTACCAAAACCCATATATATAATATATGAAATTAAAAAGGCTTTCTCTCAGTGTAGTCCGTTCAGGCCGGGATGGATTAACATGTTGGCCACACGGGGCTCATTAAGTGCGTCGTTGACGTTTGTCGTCGTCCTCCGCTCTCCGCTCGCTGCCGTTCGCTGCCATTCGTCCTTAGTCCTTCATCCTGCGAGTAGTGACTGAGTGTGCCCCAGTGGCTCCTAGGAAAAAAGGGTGGGCCCCGGGGAAAGAGTAAGGGGGGAACTTAAGCGTTGGGACTTCCTCCTGGTTATGTGTGCTTAGAGCGTTCATCAAATAACAAATTAACGATGACGTCGCTACAGGAGCCGCAATCATTTTTACTGGTTTCTTTTTTGATTTATTTCCGCTTTTATTCTTGTTTTATTATTTTTATACTTATACGTATTTCCTGTTTCATTTTTTTTCTTCTTTGTACACTCTGTGGGTGGTGCAAATATTTGCACTCGCGGAATGAATGATTTGAATTAATAACTCAGTTCGTTTAATGATGAGTGCGGTTAACGTATCGAGAATGGCTTAGCATGGGTTAACGAGACCAGCGGGAAATGTGGGGAAAAATTTATGTAATTGAAAAGGGGATTTAAAAAGCAATAGAAGGGGAATATATCTAAAACATATATACATATATCTTATATAGAGATAAATATGGATTTTGTAGAGTTTGTTTTTTCCTGACATTCAAACCTATTCGTTTTCTTTAACAATTACCCTTTAGAACTTTGCTATTTCTATTTATTATACATTTTTTATATGTTATCCTTGTTAGTCCTTGACAAGTGTTGAATGTTAGCATATATACCCCAGGCATATTTACTAACTTTAACATTTACTAACTGGTTAATATCCGCTTGAGACACTCTACTTCCTTAATGTCCTAGTGCTTTCATATATGTCAATTGATAATTCGATTTGTGTGGCACGACGTCTTTCCCTGTATAAGTCTGCTTATGGCTTAGAATACAAATCGACAGGTCCTTAGTCCTTTTGCCTCCTTCGCCTCCAGCAGGACTCGGGCAATCGGCAATCGTTCTACATGGAGCCTGACAAAGCCATGCCCCCACCGTGACGGTGGTCCACAGTCCGTAGTCCGTAGTCCATTCCCCAATCTTGTCCTGATCCAGATGCCAGAGAAGCCGACTCCTTCGTCCTTCGTCCTTCGTCCGTCGTCCTTCTCTTACGACTCATTTGCGTTTGGCGCCCGTAAAGCAATTATGATCCAATTGGTTTGACTTTGGTTTGCATTTCCCATTAATCCACGCCCCCATCCTCGACGCCCCATCCTTGTCGTGTGTTTAACCTGATTTGCCCAACTGTCATGCCAACCGCGTGCACTGAGAGAAATGTGTAATAATAGGTCAGAGATTATGATTTGCCATTAAGTTAGAAAGTGATTCTAGGGGTTAATTGAGTGTTTCTAATGTTTCCAGGGTAATAATTAGTAACTTTGGCCAGCTTGCCTTCTAAAATTTAGCTGTTCTTTTGGTTTAAATAATATTTTATGTATTAAGAATATTTTCAAAGAGTTTTAAGCTATTTCTGTCAGTGTAAGCTGGCTACAGCTGAAGTGTATGAAAGCTTTCCCCACCTTAGGTCTTAGTATGTGGAGCGGGAAAATGTGCATACCTACATACATATAGAGCTTACACACACACAGCTACCTTACACACACACACACACATACCTTACATATACATATACATATATATGTGTGTGTGTAACTGGCCATGGACGTGTCTGATAACCGTTAAGGGAATGGGAGGGGGATAGCCTCTAGAACAGGGGCATTCCAACGGATGCGAATGCGAATGTGGATGTGGATGTGGATGTGGATGAAAGTCCTGCTCCTTCCTATACCCTCCTGCCTTCCTTTTGTGCATGATGCAATGAAATTATCACTTTCAATTGCATTTTGCCACACACTCGCCAATTCAGTGAGGTGCGAGGGTTGAGGGGGAAAAGGGAAAATGGGAAAAAGGGAAAAAGGGAACCCGGTGCTTCCTTCTAACTTGCCTCCATGCGGTGAACAAAAGTCTGTATAGGGAATTTCTATGTTTCTATGACATCTACAATTCTGAATGCGAAAAGCAAAGTGATTCCAGGTGATACAGATAGGAGAAATATATCTCGAATTTTAGATTATTTTAGAAAACATCATAAATTGAGAGACAGGTCAATTCATTTTGTAAGAAATCTGCAGCTGAGTATCTTTAGCTTTCGATTTATAGTAGTTTTTACATTTTAAAAGTAAGCAAATTCAAATTCAAAGCCTAAAGGACCATATTTATTATTTATTTCATTAAATTTTTACTTCATCTTTATTTTATGTAATAATTTCCATCACAAATTTTATTGCTTTAAAGTCAAAGTCAATTGTGAGGCTGCTCATGTGAAAGGACTCTCGACAGGTGTTGAGTGCACGTAACTTGAATATATAACCGCTTTTATGTCTGCACGTGTGCATTGCCCGATTCCGGGGCTATTCCTAAAATCTTTATGGTTTTCAAAAGAAAAAAGGAAACAGGCTTTCAATCGTTCGAAAGTGGGTCATAAAAATATTTGCCAAAGATTATGGTTGTTTATGCTTCTGCAAGCAGTTGTAAAACAGAACTTAATTTGAAGCCAAGAAAAATAAACAATAAACATGGCCAAGATAAATAAATCTTTAGGATATTATTGATAAATAAAGTAAATCGTAAATATTTGATGGGAATGTATTTATTATGTTTATTTAGAGGCCAGGATATGCAGAAACTTGCTTAAATTAAATTTTTATGGCTAATAAAATTTCTAAAAAAGATTAGAAATGGGTAAAATATTTTAATTTATGACTTAAAAATAAAAAAACTAAAACAGGCTTATTTTTCATACTAGTTTGGTCCTTGGTTACCAGTGTTTTTCTTAATATTGCTCAAGTGTTTGTATCTGTAGTCACACCGAATACATTTTTATGTCTTAGGTCCTTTGGTTCCTGGTTGAGTCTGGTACATCCTTGGCATAGGCAGGATCCTTGGTCCCTGTTCAAATTGGACTCTCTTTCCGGGCTTAATTTTTAGCCAGGACTCGCAGCGAGCGCCATTTGTATTGCATACTTTTGTGCGCTGCGTTCATTTAATTGCAACGCTGTCGCAGACGACGACGGCAAGTGGAAGTGGAAATTGAAAGGGGGATTCCCCAAGTTGCTGCTGCTGCCGCTGCTGTCTTTTTGTGTGACAAACCAACTGTGGACTGCCTGCTGCTGTTGACTGAAAGATATATGATGCCAAGCTCAAAAGGCGAAATTCGCTGCTCTTTTTAGGGACATTTCCCTCCGGTCCTTATCCCCTCGCCCCCCACCCACCGCCTTATCCTTCTTCCTGGGCCATTCATATTTGTTTTGTCTCTGTGTGCCTTTTTGTGCAAATTAAATTCTTTGCTCTTTGCTCAGCGCCACCCATTTGTTGTTGTCCCAGCCCTATTTTCCATTCATTTTATTACTTTTTGCTTATTCTGTTTTATTTGTGTTTGTTTTTTTTTACTTTTCTTTTTTTTTTTTGTGTAGATTTCCATTTAACTAAGTTCTTAATCAAGCGGCCCCGACAACTGTCACCGGCAGGATCAGAATCAGATCCCATAACCCCCTCACAGTGCTCTGACCCATTAAGGGGAAAATGTGTGTAAATGGAGCGTCTCACATGCATAGAGAGCTAGGAATCCCGTTAGGAAAAGCACTTGAAATCAAAGGAAAATGTAGTCTAAAGCCTTAGGAAAATGTGTTAGGGATTTGGGTATTGCAAAAGTAGTTAAAAAAGTGTTTTAAAAATGTTTAGGAGAGTCTTTACTTATATGTCTTATATTTATTTTAAGATTTTTCAATGCATAGTTATTATTAATTCTTTAAAGGGTTTCTAGATAAATTGTTATTAGTTCTTTGAAGGTTTCTCCTTGTTTCTAGATACAATTTAAAATATACATACTTTTCCTTAATTAACTAATTTCTATCTTCGCCAACAACTAATTTCAATTTCAATTTCAATTGTTTAACTTGGCTCACTTTCACCGCTGTCTCTTTTCTTTTCATTTATTTTTGCGACAGCCTAGTTTCAAATATTCTGTTGCCAGTTGTTCTTCTTGTTGTTGATTTTCCCTTGGCTTTTCCTCATTTTCGCATTTTCGCATTTTGCATTGTGTGGCGCCTTTCCTTCGATTTGTTCGTCCTGCTTTCCTTTTTTTTTTGTTTACCCTTTGGATTTATAATGAGCTGCAGGAATAATTTGTTGCTCGCTGCCGCTGCTGTTGCATCTTTTTGGCTTTTGTTGTTGTTATTGTTGTTGTTGCTGGCCTGGCCTTGCGCCTATTTTTTCCCCCGGAAAATGGGTACACAGGGCGTCGGCAGTGGCGGTGGAAATGGAGGTGAAAAGTCCGACCCTTGTCACATTTCTTTATGCTTTGGCGGCTCATTAGCGGGTCACCGTCCCCTAGGGGCAAAAACTGCTACTACTGCTGCTGCTTCCTCATCATTCCTTTTTCCATTTCCATTTCCCCATTTCCCATTCTCATATTATACTCCCCTTTTGCTACCTTTTTGCAGGGTATTATAGTTTTAGTCAACAGTTTGAAATGGCATTTAAAACAGATTTAGGAGACTATGAAATGTGTATAGGGTGAATCTAGCTAGAACTTAGTATTAAGTATAGTACTATAATGAGGAAAAAAATAAGAACAAGATAAGATGCACGCCCAGTATAAATATAAATATAATAGCACACCGAATTCTTAAAGTGCGTATTCAGGCAGTCAGATCTAGAATGTTTGAGCAGAGATCCTGCTTACTCTCTAGCTTTTATGGATCATTTCAAGAGGGCTACACCACTCTCTCTCTCTCTCTGCTTTCTTTGAGAGAGTACACAAAT